TGAGGAGATTGTTATATTTCTGCGTAAAGTATGTAATTGTTTTAATAATAACAATACATTAGCCGATTATTGAAAATATTCAGTATATTAATACTTTTTTGAGCAGAAAAAAATCTAAATAAAATTAAAATTATTTATTTGTAATTAGACAAATATAAGAAAATATTGTAATAAATTGAATTAATTTTTGTTTTAATTCTATTTTTATGACTAGATGAGAAGAAGCGAAGAACATTCTTAGCTAATAAAAAAATATTTTGTTTGTTTTTGTTAATTATATTAGTTTATATGAAGGAAAAACAGGGTCGTTTCCAATAATTGTTCTTAAGCTAAATTAACATTAAATGGTATGTTTACTACTAATCAGAATCATAAAATTATATTAATATAATATTAAACATATGTCTAATTTCAGAACGCATTTCTTTATAATCATTTTATTATAATCTTAAGAAACTTATTTGTAAAAAAAATTGTTAACTCTATAAAATTTAAACAATTAAAAGAACATGAAATGGCACGAAACTGAAGATTTTATATTGCATTTAAAAATTTGTTAATTTATAATTTTTTTTGACACGAAATTTGATAGCTTACGCAATTTATTCCTTGAAAATTTGTGTTTTAATATACCATTCATTTTGAAACAAAATTAATAATAAATATTATTGCTTTAGTTGTAGTTACGAAGTTAAATTTGATAAAAAATCGCAGAGATTGATAAATGGGAGTATATGAGAAATTCCTTTAGTCACATAATAATAGTTGAGTGAGCAAATAATATGCCGAAGGCTGTTCGAAAACCGAAACTATATTCTATATAAGGGATCAATATAAAGTTGTATAATCCATCCTTGAATATTATATGATTAAATACATAAAATCTCAATCAACATAATAATTACGTATAAATGCAAAAAAAACATAAAGTAAATATAATAAATAGATAAAATATTGACGAATATTAAACTTTACTTTGTCTGTTTACATTATATGTACTCTTCCACCGTATTTGAGAAGTTAGTTGTTCGGTTATTGAATTGTTCGAGAAACGAGGGTGCACTGTAAATAAGTTGGTTATAGAATTGATCATAAACAGAGGGTCGACTGTGAATTAGTAATTTGGTTAATGAATTGTTCGAGAACCGATGTCGCGCTGTATATTATTTGTTTGGTTCGAATTGTTAAAGAATCGAGGGTCTACTACATTAGTCAAAGTTTGATACTCTTCAAATATTAAGTTATCAAGAAGTTGTAAGTAGTTATTTAATTGAATTATCCAAAATATTTATATAGTAAACAATCTAATTTGGTACTTGCTACTGTTTGTTTTTAAATAAAAAAAAAATCAAATCAGATTTCCGGGTGATTGTTCACATTCACAACTACATCTACATTTAAGATTGGTTATCTTTATCTCTTTATGTTCACACCTGTTCTTTCGTACCGTATAAGTATTTTATACACATATATTATACCTGTCGACCTTAAGTATACTTCCATTGGTGAATAATAGTAGGTTTCTGCAACAGCAATTAAGCAAATCTGATAGCAAAATTTTACAACTAAATACGTCCAGTAATCGAGCGTAATTGTCGATATAATAGCTTTCTGTTGAAATAATTAAACGCGCGCGATAATTAAAAAGGTGATCGCGGGAAGCAACGAAAGAAAGGCCGTGTCTACAACAATTGCAATTTCTTGCGTAACCGTCAGATATACTGAGACCGAAACGATTATATGTTCAATAACGTAGGTATATTTTCATTATGCGAAGAGGAGGACTCTTTGTTAATTGGTGAAAGAAACGAAAACGACACTGGGATCTGTAGAAAGCCTGCACGCATGTCGAGATAGAAGAGCGTGCGAGGTAAACGAAAGAACGATAATTAATTATCGTATGTGAAGACACTTGAAAGCCGTGTATTTGCGCTTCATTTCGTAACTCGTTCTTTCCCAATTTACGCACAACATTGTGGAATTTTATTATGAGAATCGTGCATATGCTGAATATATCAAAGATATTTGATCTCCAATATTTTGCATAACTATTCTCGTCTTAATTTGAATTTTTCGTCATAATTTTTTATATTTATATCTGTATATTTTGTTGTTTGTGCATTATTATTCTCATGCTAAATTCTGTATTGAAAGACCAATTAATTTAAGTTTTTTTTATATTTAAACTATTTTATGTTCAATGTAAAATACAATTCATTTTTTGGTATTTTTAATTGAAAAATAAATTGTGTGGCAAACAATTTCTTTTTAATTTGCGTTTTTATGTTTTGTTGTATCAATTAAGATATTTTTTATATATTTATACATAAAATTTTAATTTACGTCTGCATATTTTGCAAAACAATCAATATCTTAATTGATAAAAATAAAAATTAATTATAAAAAATTAGTTCATCAAATTTATTTTTATAAATAAGTAATCTTTAATTCTGCCTCTCGTCAAGACTCTTTTTGCGCTGCTTCAAAGTCCTCGATTACAGGACTAATCAAATAGTGCAAGATATTGGCGGAACCTATTACCCGAACTATATGCAGGTATTCCAATTAGTCTTCCATATCACGCATTTGATTGAATGTTTGCTAAGTTGTGATTAATCAATGACAATTACAACATGTATATGACCCAGTTCTCGGTGTATTTGGTTTAAGGATTTGTGTAATTTGGTATATCCTTTTAACGTCGGATCCGTACAAGAATTACGTATGCCAACCTACCCATTTGCAACAATAAACACACACCGCGGATCGAGGTGTGTTTTTAGACGCGATCAGAATGCGAAATTGAACTCCGTATGGCGAAACGGATTTTAATAAGTTCGCCCCAAGCCGAGGACACGGAACACGTGTTCATCCATATTTATTTTTAGACTGTTCTTTTTTTGCATTGCCCTGTATGTATTTGTTTATATTCTAAAAATATAAATTACTGAATGGTTTATCATAGAATTCAATTAACGAAATACGCTTAAAACATCATTAGGTTTCTCATTCACAACCTGCCAATTTTTGACAATAAGTGGAATATTTTTGACCATAAGACAAAAAAAAAAGAAAAAACAAAATAAAATAGGCATGGAGCGGAACGATTTCCCATCGGAAACCTTCCAACAAATAAATATAAATTTAACTAAAAAAAATAATTCAATAAGAAAAGCAACTTAACTAAAAATTAATTTTGACGACACTAAATAACTTATAAGATAATCATTTGACAGCACAAGAAAACGAACTTCGATTTAGTCTCTAAAGAGGAGATCGAGGGTGTTGTGTCTCTTTAGTCTGTGGGGAGTGTCACTATTGTCTAGCAGGGATTACGCGAGACTGTTGAGGTGGTTTTCCAGTCTGTTCTGGTAACGGGCACTGAACAAGGGGATTTCACTCTTAACGGTGTTCATGTGGAGGTCATTGTGTATAGTGTCGTTCGTGACGTACCAGGAGGCTTGAACCAGGGTCCGCAGGAACTTAGACTGGAAGCAGAAGCACACCGGCTTCAGCACTAACTTATAGATAAGTAGTTTGTTGTCGAGGGACAGTGGAGATCTTATGCCGATCAGCCAGTACAATTTCGCAAACTTGATGCCCAGTTGCTTCCTTTTAGTTGCGATGTACTTCTTCCACGTGAGTCGGCGATCCAAGAACAAGCCCAAGTATTTGGCATCGTCGGCTTGCTGTTTGCTGTTTAGTGTGGCCGGTGGCAGGTTCCCTTTCTAAGGGTGAAAGTGACGTGGCTAGATTTGGTTTCGTTGAGTCTGATGCGCCACTTCATGAGCTACTTCTGGTACGCGTCGAGATGTCCCTGGAGTCCACGCACTGCAACAACCGGATGATCACTTCTATAATTTTAGTTGACTTCCACAAACTGAGACAACCTCGGTTGTCGAACACAAGTCGTTCTAAAATCGAAAACGAAAAACTGTTTATAATAAGAATTAATGTAATAATAAAATTAATGCATAAAATCGTATACAAAAATACATAAAATCTTAAACAATATAATAATAACAACAATACAACAACCATGAAATTACATATAGTTTTCAAATTTGAGAAACAAAATGATGTTCGAAAACATAGGTGTTTTTATTCGGAAATCCTTTATTAATATAATAAAATATTAAATCAAATTGTTATCTAGTTATAAAACATACATGAATTATAAAAATATAAATATTAAACATTTTTAAAATAATTGAGTTTAGTACATTTATTAACAATAATAACTATTAAAAAATAGCATTAAATTTAATACTTCAATATAACGAATAGGATTAGATTGGTTAACAAAACTTGCATTAGAATAAAAACGATTAATATTTATGTTTCATAATTTAAATATATATTTTTTTTCATTTATTTATAATTTAATGCACATTTAATGTAAATTGTGGTACTAACTTCTATATTTCTTTGAGTATTTAAAATAAAGAAAATTCTATTTTTTGTTGTGTATATTAATTAGCATACTTGATGAAAGGTCTGAAAACCTTCCATGTTAGACATATCTAAGATTTAATCACAAATAAAATGAGAGAAAGTATTATTTTACACACTTTTAGAGATAACATATAAAACTATTAAAAAAAACAATACGTAAAATGTAAATAGCTTTTAGATAAACCAGAGTTATCCAGGTTAATCTGACATTTCAATTATCAAAGAATTCCATAGTTGTAACATTTTGTCACCACACTTGCGTCACTTTTGTAATACACTTATAATATAATATACTGTATTATGTTTTTAATGGTGCAATTATATTAAAATAAGATTCGCTATTTACAGCGATCAGCTTGAGTTGCCAACAAGTCGCATATTTGCATATACTCACATATATATTATTTTTTTTACCCGGGGTTATCAATCTTTTTGTTGGAGTTGGAAAGTAGGCGCGATAATCGATATCGGATAAATTTTGCAGTTTAATAAAAGCGTATAAACAAGAGCAGATAAGATAATATTGTGTGTATTTCTGTTTATAGGATGGCTGCACCTCAGTTATCGGTGATACCGAGTTGGTCAAAGCCCTTAGAAACGTTCAGGTCCGAGCTGTTCGTGATACCAAAAGAGAGGGACTCGGTGCACGACACAGCCAGACTCCGGAGGAACCTGGAGGAGTCGCGCAAGGCTTTCCTCAACTTCCCCGAAGAATCCACAACATTCGTAATCAGTGCGCCAATCGTAGAAAGAAAACCGCCGACGAAGAAGATAAGCTTCAAGATCAAGAAGACCGCCTCGATTTATCGCCGCAAAGAGAAGACTGCGCAGACCAAAGTGCAGGAGCTGGCGAAGAGGTACAATTCCTTGGTGGAGAGCAGCGAGCCGAGAATGAACACTCGGGGTATTGTGGTGCAGAGGGTGAACAGCCTGAAGAAGGAAAGCGCTGCAAGCAAGGTGTCGCGAAAACCGAGCGTGAAGATCAAACCGGACGACTGTACTATAAACAGAAAATGCAGTGTTAAAAAGACTATAAACTTGGACGTGGGTGATAATGGTAAAGGTTGCGTGCGCGCCAAGATCAGCTACTTGGAAGGACCGAAGTTGCCAGAGAAGAACAGTGATAACAGTGAGAACAATGTGAAAGCAACGATCGCGATTTTCGAGCAGAAATCAGCGGTGCCGAAGCCGAAAGTGCCGGAGAAGACGTTCGACGTGAAGAATCTGGTCATCAAGAATCAGGAGAAGAGAATGAAAATCATCGAGCAACGCTCGAAAACGCAGAAGACTGAAGAGGCAGATTTTATAGTGCAGGTGGTGAACATTCCACTGATTCCGCCAAAGAAATGCGACTCGCGTTACGAGACGATGCAACTGAAAAAAGTCAAGGAATTGAGTGCAGTTTTCAAAGAGGAAGATGTTAAGGTGCATCAGGAGGACGCGGAGGAGCATCTGGAGAAAGAAGAAGAAATATCCAACGATTATGATATTGTAGAACCTCCGAAGCAGATGACGCCGCCGCCGCTTCCGCCGAAACCATGCCGCGAAGCTGCGAAACCGGTCCGCGAAGCTCCGAAACCGCCGATACCAGCGAAATCAAAGCCCCAGGATATTTACGAGGAGCTGAGGCCTTACTCCGGCGAAGACGATGACGGTTACGAAATTTGCTCACCGGAGGAGAACATCTACGAGACTCTTCCAGCGCCGAAGATACCGACTCGATGTCAGGAACCTCTACCACCTCGACCGCCTTCTAGGAATTCCTACTACTCTCGCCATTCGAATATATACGAGTCCATCTATAGCAAGAAAGACGATGATGTCGAGAGTAATTACGAGTCCATTTACATTAGGGACAGGAGTTCCATAGTGAGCGATCAACAGAGCAACAGCATCTACGGCCAATCGATCACGAGCTGGGCTGAAGATGTGCTAAATACCTACATCGATACGAAGCCTGGAAGCGAACTTAGCGGAAGCAGCGACAAGAGCGATGACTGGGTCGATCTTTCCGACCACGAGAACAATTACGACAACAGCACCGGTTTCGTCGTGTAAGTAACTTCTAATTTTCTATTCATTATATGCGCCAATGAATCATATTGTGTTCCAAACCATTCTAATTTTATCTCCGATGATAGCGGCATACCTCTCTTATTTATTTAATATATTTGTTATCAAGTAAACACTCTCCACAGAATAATTCCTTGTTCCCAAAAATAACTGTACTAAAGTAAAATATAAACATTAATTAAACATAACTAATAGGGTTTATTAATTGATAGTTTGTTTTGTTGCAACAAAATGAACAAATCGTATACATTGTTAGAGATAAATGAATGTCACGTATAAAAAGTAGTAAACTAAATATTGCGTATAATGTTAATGTATCAACACAACACAAACATTCTCATACCATATCTGGTATGCTTCAATCTGATTAAAGTACTTCTCTTTAAGAACATAATCATCATCATGATATAAATATACAAAGTAATTTACTATAAAGTGTTTTCTATATAATCGCAAAGTGTTTGTAATAGAATTTGTTCGCAGTCTGTTCATTAACGACAATTGGTTTGACCAAATTAACGTACACATATTCGTATGAGCGTACAACGCAGTAATATCAGTCAGAAGTAAGGAACATATATATTGTGCTATTTACCATTAACTTCTGTTCAAGTCAGATTCAAGAGTTTTTTTTCTAAAACTCATTATTTATGTTTTATTTATTAGTACTTAAGTACTAATTACCAAATTAGTTGAAGTATTAGTTAATCGTTTACAAGCAATTAGAATTATTTATTGCAATTCTGAAATATAAATATATTTCTTTGGTGAAATATTTTCTAACAGATTTTTATTTGAAATGTGTTCTAATAAGTTTTTGTAGCATTGTTTTCCAAATAATATACGTTATTATATTTTATATGACTCCCACATACTTAATTGAAAAAGGTGATTTTAACTTTTCATTTTATTTATTGAAAGAAAAATCTTTAGAATTTTAACTTTAAATTTTTCCTACCCATGAAAAATATTTAAACTATAATTCAACTACACAAGGGGTCTACTTAACATAACGTATATGAAAATTAATTGTCCGACTAACGTACATTCATCTTGGCGTAGGAATAATTTGTACGTTAACTGGGTAGTGTTTGTATATTACAAAAACAACAACAGTTCTATAAGTAAACAAAATGAATGGATATTAATAATTCATATTTTCCAAGTAATAATCTGAACTAAGCAAACTCACTTCAATTCACGCTCGTAGCGATGTATACTTGATATTTAGTTACCACATGGATGCCATAATTTTATAGCAGTCTACGATTATTTTGCTTGATTTACGATTGTTTTTCATTTTGCAATCGCTGGCATGAAACGTGGAAGTATCCCCGCGGGAAAACCCGATATAATACTTGCAATACATTCACTAACTATAACTAAAATAAGAAAAAAAAACTACGAAAATTGATTGCATAATTACATTATAAAAAAAGCATTTGATGTGACCCGTGTAGAGAAGTTGAACGTGCATTAAGAGCAAATCCAAATTATAAGTGGATACACTAATTTCGTTCCATGTATCATGTATGAAATGTGGGTCAAAACTGAGAGTTCCATTTCATCTGATCCGCCTAGCGAAGAGAGGAGAGCAACAACAAAAAAATAGAATACAAATATTTGACGCAAATCGCGGAGCATTCAAATGCTAAAGTGCCTGTGCGAAACCAGTACTTTCAAATTCACCTTTCTCGACTCGTAATTGCCTACATTTGTATCATGGCATAACGTTTAAGTTTTTTTTTCCTTTTTTGTTATTTAACCGAGGCATGTTTCTATTTTAATTCACACACTTGCGTGAAAATAAACGTAAGCCGCTGAGCGGACGACCAAAGTTCGCTGTAAACATTTTCTTTTCATTATAAATGATGACGAAAATTGTGGTATTAACCTGTTTTTAAATTATTGGACGTTTCATTGTTATTTCCATCTACGAGGTAGAATTTCTTAAAAAAAAAAACTATTTGTATTTCATTGTACGGTAAACGATTACAATCTCTTACTCTACTTTTTCATTTCCTTGTTTATTTTTTAACTATAATAAAAGCACTGATTTTAGAAATAAGTTTATTTATCAATCTTAATACCATTTGAACTAATGGCTAATATTTAAAATGATTAATTTATCTTAAGAGGAAATCCAATGATTAAAATTTGACAAAGTATATGAAGAGATATATACTTTTTGATTTCCTTGTGTATTTTTTTTAACTATAATAAAAGCACTGATTTTAGAACTAAGTATATTTATCAATCTTATTGTCATTTGAACTAATGGCTAATTTTTCAAATTATTACTTTATCTTAAGAGGAAATCCAATGATTAAAATTTGACAAAGTAGGTGAAGAGACATCTACTTTTTTATTTCTTTTTGAATTAATTTTTTTTATCAATCTTATTGTCATTAGAACTAATGACTAATCTTTAAAATGATTACTTTATCTTAAGTGGAAATCCAATGATTAAAATTTGACAAAGTAGATGAAGAGATATATACTTTTTCATTTCCTTGTGTATTTTTTTTAAATATAATAAAAGCACTGATTTTAGAAATAAGTATATTTATCAATCTTATTGTCATTTGAACTAATGGCTAATTTTTCAAATTATTACATTATCTTAAGTGGAAATCCAATGATTAAAATTTGACAAAGTAGATGAAGAGACATCTACTTTTTCATTTCTTTGTGTTTTTTTAACTATAAAAATGCACAGATTTTAGGAATACTTTATTTATCAATCTTATTGCGATTTGAACTAATGGCTAATCTTTAAAATGATTACTTTAGCTTAAGAGGAAATCCAATGATTAAAATTTAATGTTCATTTAATATTTCAACTCCTTGTGTATATCAGAAATTTACTAAAGGTGTACATTTTTTGGGTAGTTTTACAAATTATTAATAATTTAATACAAACAGTAACATTTATTACAACACTTAACATTAAAAACATAATTAAATTTTGAGGAAACCAAAGACTTTCATGTTTTAACGGTATAATTTAATAATAATAATAATGTTTATTGCATCAGTCGTATAAAAAAGAAACAATTACATATTTTGAAGTTCACAATTTATTGTTTAATAAAAAAGATTAAATGAATCAATTTCAAATATGAACAACTTAGTATATCTTACTGTGATAAAAATAATATTAAAAAATAGAATTAGAAAAATGCAATAATTATAAATGCACACAAAATTCAAGCGCAGTTTCTTTTGTTCAATCTTAAGCTACGTCATATGTGAAGAACAAAGAATGAAATTCACGCAATAACGTAAATCAGTATGAAACAATAGAAATGACGAATTAAGAAAAGGAATTGCAAGTTGTAGACTTTTTTTATTTATAAATCTTAAACAAATATTTATCTACTTAATAATAAACACATACATATATACAAAGGGATATTTTATCTATGAAATTTCAACAAATTAATTGAATCATATTTAAATTAATAGTAAACATTATTTGTTGCATACATGCATATGCATTCAAACTGCGGAAATAATTATTGTATTATTTCAAAAAATATGTCTCAAATGCCTCTTCCATTTCTAAATTGGGATAAAAACAAAACTTAATAACTAATTGATACATTTTTTTACTAAATAAAAGATGGAAGTCCAAACAACAAGAAATAATATAGGTTAGGTGCTTTGAACACGTTGACAAAACAAAAGAATGTGCTAAGACCACCTATTGACAAAATCCAAAATCACTTTTCATTTGTTAATTATTTAATAACATACTTCAGGACCAATAACATTTTTTTCTTAATAAAAAAATAGAAGAAATTATTTTTATTTTCAATGTTTCAAAAATTAAATTATTAACATATAAATTTCAATATGTATGTATATAATATTAATATACTTGTATTAGAATGTAGTTCTGCCCTAATATACAATGTTTGCTTATTCAATTAAATAATTATTTTAATTTTTGTTTTTAACGCCGTAAATGCGTAAATTAACGAAAGTTTGCCAAATTAATGTATTATATTAATTGTTAAGAAAACCTATAAACATTATAAATCACGCGATTGACAATCAAAGTACTTGATAAATTTATGATTTCTTTTGCCAAAGTAACAAACATTATAAATAAGTACGCGATTGACAAATTACTTAATATTTTTAGCATACCACGTTCTCAATAGTTTCTTTTCACTCAATAACCATTTTCAATTATTTTTCAAATTTATAAATGTTTGATACAGAGGATTAAAAGTAGATTTACTGCGTTTCTATTTATCTGTGAATTATTGAATTTCTCTGTGAATTACTTAAAATAATTAAATTATTAATCGCTGTTGTCAATTTTATGAGATTCTGTATCTAGAAAGATTTAAGTTCTAAAAATAACATCAAGAACGAAAATTATTATTTTAAAGTATACATATTAACATGTAATTAATTTAAATATAAACAACTAATAAAAAAAATATTAATTAGAAAATTTATTTGAGATCAATTAATTTCTTATATTTTTTAAGTAGTTTTCTTGACACGGAAGAGTTTCTTCCAATCGTTTCATTCTACTAGTCTCGTTTTGATAGAAAGTAAAAATCACCCATTCAAATACAACCCAAAATTATTTTTGTAAATTATCGTGTGAATTTTATGCGCCGTATATAAATTTTCAATGAAGTTATAAACTATATATTTTCAATCAATTATCTTTATATAATAATGCAATTTTTACATAATACACACTAATAAAAAATAGATATTGTTACAGACATTCAAGAATGAAACATTTCATTGAAAACAAAGGTTAATACTTTGTGTGGTAGATTATTGCGTTCGTTCGACAAAGAAAAGTGAATCATCATCAAGTTAGACGATCTCCGTTAGTCAACTGGAAACAAGAATAAAAAGAAACAAATGTGAAGCAGTTTGTATTACCAACTGACTTCTCAATAAACGTTATCTGGAAACCAAAAGTCGAAATTCTCGGCAACGACTATTA